TGCTGTTTCGAACGTGGACGTTTGCAAGGACTTCAGACATGTTCGACCCGTGACATGTCAGCATACACTGTGGACCGCGAGTGCTGCACAGGCTTGGATGATGAACTTGATGAACCAGGGCCTCTCGGCTTTGCAAGAGCAGGGTGAAATTGTTGCTGTCGTTGTTTCGAAAGCAGGGGCTGCATGGCACACCAAGGCTTCTGCATTCGCTTGAAAGCAGTGTTGCCTGTGGCAACTCCTTCGGGGAGCCAGTCGTTGTTGGTCAATGCAGTCCGGGGCAAACCAGCAGAATTTCAGCTTGCAGCTCGGACGAGATTTCCAGTCGGGTTGGCTTCCCTCGTCCACCTCAAGTACATTGGCAGATGTCTATCATCAACTTACGAAGCAATAAGATGGTTGCGGCATCTTTTCTTCCGCGTCCTTGTTTGTTATTGTCGCTGGGGACAACTGCTCCTGGCAAACTCAACGTGGGCTAGCGGCAAACACAAAACCAGCTGCCTTCACAACCCCACTGCCCAGGTAGCCTCACTAGCCCACATGCTGAGATGGGCTCGGGGCCTTCCAAGAGCAAATTAGGACAGCAAGATTTTAAACGGGCTGCATGAAGCTTGAAGCTGAGCAGCTGCCAACGTGCGGCAGCTTTTACTTTTATGCTTTAAATTTTAATAGTATGTTCACTTCTACTGCTCATGTTTGCAGCAGGATCATCATGAGCTAGCCACCTGCTATTCTTGCTTGTTCCAGTGTTACTGCTTGCCTTCTGAGCTGGAGTGACTGCAGCACTGCTTTGCTCAGTTCTTCGTGGTTCTGAGGTTGCAGAGGCACCACCCCAAATCTACATGGGTGACCTGCCGGTCCTGGTGGGTATGCGTGACATAGATGCTGACCAGCCGATGTGTCGCATCTTTATCTTGCTGCCGGTTCGCACAAGTCTGCTGGGTCTCGATTTCCAGTCTGAAGGCGTGTAAACTGTAAACTACTTTTGCCGTGGCTAGCTGTCTGAGCTTTACAGCACAAGCCAATTCCAGGTTTTCAAGCGCAGTCTTGCATTCATGCGCTTCGGCTTTCTGGTTGCTGGCCATCTCATGTCCTTGTTCTTGTGTAAGGTTAGGTACATCACTTCACCCCCGGTCATATCAGAATAAATCAGGCCTACGATTCCATCTCCAATCCCAGCTTCGGCAAAAAGAGAGACGGAAAGCACTGACTGTCTCCATCTCGAGCTTCAGTCGAAGGCCTCTCGATGCATGATGACAATGGTTGAATTACCTTACTCTCCAACTGAGGTTGGGCCCGCCGTCGGTGAAGGGCTTGGGTGATATGCCTGAGCTTCTGGCTGCCATGCCTTCCAGCGTGGACTTGTCCGAGACATTCCTAACAGACATTTTAGTTCGCTGATTACAGCAGCATAGCTGCTTGCTTCAACTTCTTCGAAGTTGTTGTACAGGGAGATATGGAACTTGCAGGGTACTCTTGCCCGCATGCATTCTCCGTTGACGCATATTTTCGCTCCAAAGGAGTGCATCGCGCTTTTCCTGTCACTGCGCTTGAATGTGCTTTGCCACAAACCAGAGGTAGACGAGCGCTTGGCAAAACTAAGCGTCCATACTGTGGAGGGGGTGCCCGAGAAGAGCCGTCCAACTTCGCCGGACATGCTCCACGATCGCTTGAACGAGGAGTTCGAGCAGATCTACAACCTTGCCTTGACTCTAACGGTGGAGAATGATCATGCTACCGTTGTCCGTGTTGGCCCCCCGGAGAACTGAGAGGCCATGCACAGAAACGAGAGTCATGCCAAAGCCAACTTCTGCACTTGTGAGGTCAAGAATGGCTTCCACTCGCCCTCGGCCGGCGGATATTGCGATCTCAAGCCACACCCTCGGCCTCAGCACACATACGCGTGCGCAGATGCTCACGTGCACGTACGCGTGTATCCGCACACACACACACAAAAAAAAATGCATGAATAGAATTCAGAATACGCACGTGGTGCAGCAAGAATTCCCACATGAACATGTGTGGGTTAGGGCTTGTGCGGGCATTTTTGTATTTTTCGAGTGCATCTTTCGGGGCGATCATTTCCGTTGACGGCAGTCGCGCTTGCTGTTCCGGGAGCTGATGTGTACATACTGTGCCCAGAGCCTCGCCTGTTGAAAGAGCCCTGGAAGTCCGAATAGAGCGAAGCAGGCTCTTCCTGCTCATCGCTCACGACAAACCGGAGGACGGTGGAACCGATGGGTCCAAGGCCTGCTGGCTTCGATTGACTTGCAAAGGGGAAGAGCCAGCCTATGCCAGGTGTGCCACATCTGCGAGCTCCAAGTCCACCTGAAGCAGTTCTTGGCGTGCAAGAAATTTACTCACCTGCCGTACGTCCCTAGCCTGGATTGGAAGATCTCCTATAGGTCAGGCGATGTCAAACCAGTGCCGTGCGGAAACGGTGTAAGCACCGTGTCCAACCAGATCCAACCAGATTCAGGTCATCGACCGCGGCGACTTCGATCAGACATGAATCTCCCGACACAGGTTCAGCCTCTACCAGAGAGGACAAAGTATTCTTGTTGGAGGTTGTGAAGGCAAAGACAGCGGCACAATGCCGGATGTTTTTAAGTGATTGCGCGAGACCACGCGAAGCGCGCCTTCTCGCAAAGCTTTCTAGGTCTGTTACATATATAGCTTAGTGGCTTGGCGCAGTGTTGGACAGCTCAAAGACTGAGCACGCACTGTGAAGTCAAGTCCTTCCGTCGAGACAAGAGACGAATAGAGACGAGATGGCAACCCTGGCCGAGGAGGGACCCCACAGTGCAGACATGCATGACAGGCGAGGGCTATAAGGAAACAACTTGGCTCGACCAACCGCAGCAAAGTCCAAGAGTTTTGTGGTCTCCGCCTCAAGCGCGAAGTATGTGAAAGGATTACATCCGGAGTGTCACCAAAACGGAGTGAGCAACTGAACGTGCTGTTTTTCATGCGACCTGCCCACCTACTTAGTAATGTCGTTTCGCTGAGAAGCTACCAGACTCTGGATTGATCCCGGCTTTGCTGTTCGTCGCAGCTGTGAAGATCTTATCAAACTCTCGCAGGCTGCCATGCTGCCAATGAGTGCATGCGGAAGCGCGGACTGCACGCGCTTCCAGAGTCGCTTTGTTCGACCTCGCCGGGTCCCCGCTAGACTGCCTCGGGCAAGCGGTCAAGGGCCGCTTGCAGTAACCAAGCAGGCAGAGTCCAAAGCGAAGTGGCATTCGACGTGGAGCAGCACGTGCTTTAGGTCGGCTATTGGAGCAGCCGGTGCCGGTTGCTCTGCTATATCTCGACACTCCCGTGGCCACTCAGACTCTGGCGACATTCCTGGAGGCTCCACCCGTAGGCAAGAAAGCCAAAGCTCTCCCTTCGCAAGTCGAGTGCCTGTTGCGCGAGACGGGCATTCGGATGTAGCACGACGTGCGATCGACAGCACAGTCCTAACCAAAGTCGAGACCGAGGTTTTGCGTCCACTCCCGCCAAAGGTGGAGAACCGCGTTGCCGAGCTTGACAACGGGCCTTTTGCAAACCCGGCTGCGCTAGAGAATGAAGCATTCTACCTGCCAGCAGTGCACTGCGAAACTGGTGATAGGTCTGTGTATGACCGGCTGATGTCTGAACTGGACTTCAAAGACTGCTGGCTCGACACTGGCATGAAGTTTTCTAGGCAGATCTGCATTGGGGACGAGGAGCTTCTTGCAAGAGCCCCCACTTACAGAGCAATCGTAGAAAGGGTCACGCAGATTTTTGGAGTTAGGGCTGTGCGCACATTGGTTAATTTGTATCGGGATGGCACAGACTGGTGCAATCTACACTCTGATCAATACCACCAGGGTGGTTATCCAATTGACCTAACAGTAGGGTCCACCTTTGGAGACCCTCGGCGGCTCATCTGGGTGGAGAAGAAGAACCCACGTCACAAGATTGAAATGCCTCAGTTGAACGGTGATGTCTTTGCTTTCTCTGATGCGATCAACACCACATGGAGGCACATGATTCCACAAGAAGGCCCGGAATGCGGTCCTCGAATCTCTGTGATTGTGTGGTGCAACAGGGAGAAGGATGGTGGCCACTGGATGGGATCTTTGGGTGCTTTCCCGCACATGCTCCACCAGAACCCCAAAAGCAACGGAAGGGATTACGAGGCTCGCCCAGGACACTTTCCGAGGCGTGACAGGGGAAAGGGTGAAGGCAAGGGCCTTGGCAAAGGCAGGAGTAAAGGTGCTGGAAAGGGCCAGCTGCGGCGATCAGCCAGCGCTGAGACCTTGGAGCCCGTCTTGCCACCACTTCCTGATGCTGCGCTGGAGGAGGCGGTGCAGAGTGCTTCGAAAGCCCTGACACTGCAAGGCGCACAGCAGGTCTATGCAATCTTAAGGGGCATCAAGCTTCTTGAGAACCGTAGCTGGGCAATCCCACCTGGCTGGTACGCACTCCACGCCGGCGCACAGCTGATCAACGAAGAGCGAAGGCAGCGAACCCTCGAAGCTTGGCCTGAGGCACCGCAGGAAGAAGACTTGCCCCACCGGGCGATTGCTGGCCTTTTCTTTGTGCAGGAGAACAGAGCGCCCGAAGATTGCAAGCCCAACTACATCTGGGCTCGCGGCCCCGTTTGCAATGTGATCTCCAAGGCCATTGAGTTCCAGCGGCCGATCCCCTGTCGCGGCGACCGTGGACTCTGGGACCTGGGTAATCTCAAGCACCGCATCCGCAGAGAGCTCCTCCGGTCTGGTTCGCAGGTCCAAGTCAAGCGCTTTGACTTGGCGGCAGCGCTGGGGCCGTAACAATGCCATCATTCGCCCAGTAAGAGGCCATGTTTCAGCAGCTTGCTCCTTTGAGTTTCGGAAGGCTTGGCAAGGAGCAGATGCCTGCATTTGCAGTCCAAACCCACGACGATCCGTGCCAAAACTTGCTGAGCACCGTCTTCAATCATGCCCATCTCTGCAATTTTGCTAGGTGTATTTTGGAGATGCATCCACACCCAGGCCCGTCGTCATCCGAGCTTCGGTAAGCGCAACATCTCGGCAGGGAGCCTAGGAGCTCCGCAACCTTCGATCAGATTAGACTCACTGGACTCAGGAGGGCTTATCTTTGACTTCCATATTTGGTGCTTTGACATGGCTGTTTGGCGAGTCTGTATGCACATCTACACATAGATTTTGAGCCGTATGTATACACAGATAATGTATACACAGGTCAGACACTTTGAGTCTGGTAATTCGGACAATGTTTTCAACGAGCGATATTGATGGACCATTGATGGATGTTGTAAATGGAGGTGTCACGGTCGAGTCACAGGAGTCTTCTTATTGCTGTGCTAGGTACAATTTCTGTGGGGCTTCTGTGATCTAGAGTTCTGCCGGGCGCCCCCAAGGCCCGCAAAGTCGTCTACCTGCTCGAGAAGAAAGCAGAGGGTCCCTGGGATCAGAATGCTTCATGCGGCAGCGGAGGGCTTCAGTAGATTCGTGGTTCCCTAAGGGGTTACCGCTTCGCACGACGCTTTGTTCGGATGTCGTTGAAGCCTTCTGCGCACGCAGAGAAGCTCAGGCAACGCTGGCTCCAGGTCAGTGGGCGGCCTTAGTTGACCGTTTATGGCGAAGCTCGTCTCCTCAGTTCATGCGCAGCCAACCTGAGGCTCTGGTGTGGGTCGCAGGCCCGCCTGGTTGATTTGGAGAGTCGTATTGTAGGAACGGCCACCATGAATGCGAGAGGAACGCAAACACTGGCAGAAGCTTCTTACTTTGCTGCGGACTTCGAGGTGCTACTGCTGTCCTGGGCAGCATTGCGGCAGCATCCCCGGATAAGCAAGTGCACATGATTGCGGATATGGTTCGGTGGGGTTTTGTCTGCTCTTGGACCATATTGTAGCCGCTGCTGGACTCCTGGATCAATGAACAAACGGTATCGAAGCAGAAGGCTGCCCTTGCTGCAGTTTTCAGCTCGACATCGTCATGAGTCTGGACATGGCATCAAGCACAGTCAGTAAGTTGAACCTCTGGACATGGTTGGCTCGGCTCGGAGGCAAGAGTACATCGGACGTCTGACAACCGAGAGACTTGAGTATCTTGTGTTAGACAGGGGCATGGCCTTCCTGGCCGCAGCATGCTGCAACAATGGGCCCAATGCCGTGCTGAATCGTAGTCGAGGCTCGCCTTACTGTACATGTCGAGGATGCAGCGCCTGTTGAGTGGGGGCCTGCACGCTCTGCAGAAGCTGCGGGCAGCAGGTTGTGAATGTGTCGAGTTACCAACTGTGCACCAACGCACTTCGCGGCGTGTTTCAGTTGCCAGTTGCTACAACTCCAGATCCAGTCGGAAATCGTTCCAGATCGGATGTTGGTCACGCCAGGTGCAAAGCAATGGACCGCGCGAGCATGCAAGTGGAATGCCTGCAGCAAAGCATCGCGGACTTGCAACTAAAGTGGCGCGGCTAGCAAGTTAGTGTATGTGGTAGCTGTCTTTCAAAAGCCGCAAGATTCCGCAAGCCTGCAAGCTTCTCTTGACGGAGTTCAAGCCGTTTGCTGAAGCTTCCAAGAATGGGGAGTCGAGGGCGATCGCAAGCTTCTTCTCGTGCGGGTTTGCCCCACTTCCAAACCCGCTCGGGACCCCGGGACCGCTCTGCAGCACTGCTGTGGCATGTGCCAGGTAGCCTTGCTCGCCCTCTTGCCGATACGATGCTTGTCGTCTGCGTAGCCCCTGATAGCCCCTGTGCACGAGGCTCCTGGTGAAGGAGGTCGTACATGCACAGGCAAGCGTGGGTTCATTCTCTTGCTTTTTTCCGTGGTTTTTAACTTGTATTTGCCTTCAGGTTTTGGCTGCAGCCTTGAGATGCTGTTCGCTCCACAGCCAAACTTCGCCTTCTAGGCCTGGTTACCTCGTTTTTCTTCGGTCCCTGTCAGCCCTGTCATGCACGACACAGAAGCATGGCCGACGCTGGCAGCCCAAGTGTCGCACTGCATGCAAGGCCACCCTCCCTGTTGGAGGTCACCCAGCCGGCAGAATCCACGGCTCCTCGACTGAAAAGGTAACGTGAGACTCAGTCAGAAGCCAAGAAGAAGGAAGATGATGAACATTTGAAAGACAGGAGTCTTTGCGTCAGCTCTCGTAGCAGGTTCGGCCCGGCTCCCTTCTCGAAAGCAGAGACTTGGACTGGATAAGCTGATAAGCTGCAATGCGGTGGGGCACAACTCTTCGATTTGGGGACTCCGTTCTTACCGCGTTGCTCGGACCGGTGAGGTGGGAAGGGCATCGTTTCGCTTGGAAGCGAGAGACCAAGAAACGACATCAGTTCGATTCAGCTGAGTTTCGCGCGCCGGCTCGCCCGCACGCTCGCATGGGGTGCATCACACACTGTTCTTCCTGTCTGCTAGGCGCCGTAGCCCTCTTCGTCATGGCGGCTTTGCCACTTGTTAGTTTGAGTTTTGTCAAGTCCAGCAATGGCAAGTTCAAAGTTCCAGGGCACGGCAACAAGAGACGGGCTTTAGGGTCGTGCGGTTGTCACGCTGGCTCGTTTAGCCGAGAATCAACACTCGATGCGTGGACCTCGGGTGGCTTTGGCCAGCCGGCAATCGATCAGGATGACAAAAAGTGTGTGATCGAAGGCTCGCTGCCTGAGTTCAATCGTAGGAAAGAAATGCAAACAGAGCTTGCGAGCATCAGTGTCCGCTACCCGTTTCGTGAGTTTCTGAAGCCTCGATCGGGCATTAATTTTAGATTAGATAGCTCGTTGACGATTCGAGCTACTGACTTCGTACCACCATGCCTTTCATTTGCGCTAAGCACCCCGGTAAAGAGCCTCGGTGTCAAGTTTGAGCTGGCATGTGGCGACTATGGCTTGACATGCGTTTGGCATGAGGACTTCTTGAAGGTGTCAATAACCTCAGTGATAAGTGATATCGATGCTTTTTGCAAAACTCGCAGAAGTCGCCTGTTCAGTGCTTGGCGACCGAATCGCCCCCAGCTGTGGCAAACACCGTGCAAGTTGTCATCGGATGCCAAGGAGAGCCTCCCGAAGAAGCTGTGGACACACAATCCTCCTGGAACTCTGCGACCCTCGATCATGATTCCTTGCCGATCCAGGGTCAAGCAGAGGTCCGTTGCGATGATGAGGCCGCTGATGTTGTTTTCAAGCAACTCCCATGCAACGAAAAGTCCACGGAGAAGCCCATGCCTTGATTGCCGACGCAGCCACTTCAGAAGCTCAAGCCGCAAGATTCCCGGTTGCCCCTTCCGAACCCATGCTCATGTCTGGGAATCGAGCTGCTGGAAAGAGCCATGCAATCCTCAAGCAGATTGAGTACTACCTTTCCGACCAGAACTTGGCTCATGACAATTTCTTCCGCAACTTGCTGGCAGAGAATGACGGCTGGATTGCCATCGCGCCTTACTTGCTCTCTTGCAACAAGATCAAGGCACTAGATACCAGTGTCCAGGAGATTGAAGACGCGCTTCAGCAATCCGGGGAGTTGGAAGTGGACCGTGCTTCGGGTCGGATTCGTCGTAAGACGCCCTTTCAGCTGCGTAGGGACACCGGACAAGACAAAGGAACAGGAAAAGGAAAAGGCGAACGAGGCAAAGGGAAAGGCAGCGGACATGCCGAATCACGTGCCGCACCTGTCTATAATCGTACCGGACCATGCGGTTACTTCATTGCGGGCTATTGCCATCGCGGAAATACGTGCAGCGTGCAACATTCGATCCCATATGCAGAGGCCATCAGGAATGAGTGGCTGCATCCGGATGACTCCACCATGAAGGAGGCCCTGCGGACAGCAGCTGCAGAGCTGCTTGGAACCGGTGTGAGTGCCGCTGCCTTGTTCCCGCGAGTCTTTTCTCAGAAGCTGCGCTGCAAGCCTGCTCAGACCCAGACCCAGACAGATCTCTCTGACTTGGGATTCCAGTGGAGTCCGGATCCGGATCCTGGGACACTTGGGACCTGTGCATCTGCGCAGAAACCCGGGCGATGGGCAAGAAAGAAGGTATCCCTTGAAGCGGCGTCCACACCTCCCTTGTCCGCTTCGGGGGCGCCTCCTCAAGGCATTCGATACTTCCTTGTCTTTGATTTGGAGGGCAAGCACGAAGTAATTGAATTTCCTGTCATGCTGATCGACGCCGTCGCTGGAACTGAAATCGGAAGGTTCCAACGGTTTGTACGCCCAACAAAACTGTTCGAAGGTTGTCCTGTCACAGACACACCTGCAATTCCTTTCCCGGATGTTCTAGCAGAGTTCAACACCTGGCTATCAGAGAAGATCGGCCGACGGCTTCAAGACTTGGCGGGAACGGAGGATGTGGCTTTCGTGACGTGCGGTGATTGGGACTGCAAACACATCAGGACCCAGTGCGGGATTTGCGGAGTGCCGTTTCCTAGAGCTTTTTCGCAGTGGATAAACATCAAGCGGACATACTCGGAAGCCTACGGCGGAGAGTTCCGAGGAATGAAGAGTATGCTTGCGAGGCTCCGTCTGCTTGACAGAGATGGCAATCCAAGGCATGGCTTTCATCATCTTGGCATGCATGACGTCGAGAACATCGCACGGTGTTTGATCTATTTGCTTGACAGCGATGTCGTGCTTGAGATTAACGGCTGGCTTTGAAGCTGACCTTGAACGTGATTCTAGCACACCACACTGCTCTATCCTCGCTGAGACGGCTCTAGCCGCTCGCGGGACGAGCCTCAAAGGATCAGGGCAGAGCACGGCTCTCCTTGATTTGCGCCTGTTGGTTCACAAGGACTGGTGCTGTACAGTGCATGCGCCGAGACAGGACGACCTTGTTTGACCAAAGTTGGCTGAACGGTGTTCGATGCGCTGAGTGCTTGTTTGCGCAGGGTCTTGTGAGTTTGACATGGACTCCACATGGTATGTCTGGTACGTGTTGAATGGCCGTTGTCACAGCAAATTCTCGTTGTGGCGACATGCAGTGGCGAAGCGTACTTGTGAGCAGGCAGTGATGAGTCTACTTCGTGAGTTGCAAGAGGACGACACGTGCCCATAAAAAGCACGTTGGCCTTGCCAAGAATCAGCGAAGGACCTGGCCACGGCCAGATCGCGGCGGGAGCCTCGGCCCAGCACAGCAACAATGGCAAGCCTCGCGCTCAGCTCTCTCCGTCCACCTGTAGAAATTGTTCCGTGGTCGAAGCCTTTCTCTTGCACAAGCGTGTTTCCAGGCCAGCTGCCAATCGACCCACACCGACTGGAAGAGTTGGTAGCTGCCAACCTGAGCCAGTGGGCTCCATGGCAATGTACCGGTACCGGCTTTCAAACACTTTCAAAATTCGGGGCTGCTCTCCTTAGCACCGCGTTTTGCAGCTTGGCACGTCTGTCTGAGGTTTACCGCGCAGATGACGTGTCTGAACCTCTTCCGGAAATTCCTGGTATCTCGCTTTCTGCAGACTGTCTTCGGGAAGACTTGCACACCGGGAGCGTGAAGGTGGCACTTGTCACAGCAGAACTACCAGGAAGACACCGCACGCTCTTCGTGGTGTTCAAAGGAAGCTCATATTTGCTTGACTTCATTAACTGGAATTTGGAACATGACTACGAAGTCATTGGCGACGGCACACACTTCATGCACAAAGGCGCTGCTGGAATCCTGCGCAACCTATTTTTCCTCAAGGTGCAAAGGGCTTCGTCCTTTGCCAAACAACTGGATGCTGCTTACAACAGCGGGGTTCGGCATTTGGTGGTGACGGGCCATTCCTTGGGTGGAATGTATGCGATGTGCAGCATGTACTTCATCTGGCGTGAGATGCAGACATTGGTTCCTGCCACCAAGCGGCACTTGGCACTTTGCCACGAAGCGCAATGCTGCTACTAAGCACATGCGTCTTTTGTTGCAGGCAGCCCAATCCGTGCCAATCTTCTAGTCAGAGACATGTGACATATGCTTCCGGGCCCCCTGCTTTCTTGAGAGATAGCCCGTGAGCTTTCTCGTCAGCCCTTGTAAGCCTTTGGAAACTCGGATCGGAACTCTCTGAGGAACGGAGTAACCTTAGAGGCCCAGGCCGTGCTCTCCTCCGTGTGGCTCGCTGCGTGGCTTTCGGTGCACCCATGCACCCAGGCATGAGAACCTGCGATGTCGGGGCCGTGAGAGGTAGAAGTAGAAGTTGGGCCTTTGCGACATTTCCAGGGCAGGCATCTGCTTTTTGTGGATCTCTCTTCGTCGGAGTCATCCAAGTCTGATCTCTTAGGTGCTTCGGTCAGGACAGCACAAACGAGCCCAGTGACGAGTCGCTCGGTCGGGTGAGACGTGCGCGTACTCACGTACTTCAAGACCGATTTTTTTTATATATTCGAGGAGCAAGTTCATATAAGCAGCGAACCGGACACAACCAAGCTTCACGTCTCAGGAAGTATGCCAAGTTTGAGACCTTCCTCAAAGAGAAGGCGGTAAACTTCATCAATGCAGGTGCACACGGTAATGACTTACCGTGGTTTCAAGGTCTGACGGGCAGATGTCGTGTTTTGCTGCATGTGGGTTATAGCTAGACCACGGATACGCTCGGCGCTCGCTGTGTCACACCACGCTTTCAGCAAAGAAGAACAGGGCAGGGGCTCCGGGATGCATCTTCGGGGCTGCTCCCCACCCCCCGGCCTTGGATCAGGGGACCCGTGCCCACGGGCCTGGTCCGCTGTGGATCCACGGGCGGTGATCCGAGAGGCCGCTGAGGCCATGAAGGAGCAGCTCAAGGAGACCATGACATCCTGACCGTCTTAGCAGATCCATCTTGCCCCCGAGCACTGCCAGCTAAGAGGAGCGAAGCTTGGTGAGCCGGCAAATCGCCACCCGTGTGATTCAGGCGCTCTCCAGCGCTCTGCAACTTGACATGCATTGAAACCTTGACTGCCTTGACGGTGACTTAGCGAGTCTCCCCTCAGTTTCATGCTGTGAGTCGAGTCCACGCATGGCCCAGGCTTTCCCGGCCCGACATGGACCGCCATATTGCCGGTTGCGCAGCGGGCTTCCTCCATCTCTCAAGCATTCGTCTGCTGAGCCGGGAGGACTGGAAGATTTCTGCACTTTCGGCTTATTTCGTGCTGTTTCCTGTGGATGGATATCTAGCTGGCTGACAAATGAACCCGCACCGCGCACTATGGTTCATGTGAGGACCGGTCTTCTTTTCATTGGAAGCGGGACTTCCGTTTAAGCCGACATGGCTTCGCAGACCACGCCATGTCCGAGCACTTCTCTTGGTTTAAAGATGTTTAAAGCCCTTCCTAGAGACATGCTGTTGTAGGTGTGTTGGCTCGTCTGTGCCTGTACATACAAGCAATAAGGTACTGCGAGTTGCTGTTCGATGCGTGCTATGCCGACCAGCCGACTTGCTCTCCGTCCGCACAACTGCTGCCCGCTTGGAAAGGCATCAGAAAGACAATGCCGACACAACATGCCATGACATTCTCCGGGTCAAGCAAGGTCACATGTACGATGACGATGATGCCGGGACGAAGGTGCCGCTGACTCGCATCCGACCCAGTTTCGTGGCCCGACTGCGGCGGTCCAACTCCGATTCCGGCATGCTGGAAGCTGACCCGGCAGAGTCCACAAACCCATCAGAGCCCGCAGCGACTGCAAGCTCATCGTCGATTTCTCCTGCCTCGGGGCCGTCCCATGGCCGGCTGGTAGGTGGTCCTGCAGATTCAAGTTTCTACTATCAGTATGTCTGCGGCAGGCGGACGGATAATTAGGGCATGCGAAGTGCGTGGATGTGAGCGGAGGGAGGGAGGGAGGGAGAGAGGGAGGGAGGGAGGGAGGGAGGGAGGGAGGGGCATTCATGTCACGTCAGCTGTTTCGGTTGTTTGTCTGCCCCAACAAGGGAGGCAGGACATGGGCATGCCCTTCTTCGTTCCCGCACAATAGTAACTTAGTATCTTAGGCTGCTGGTGAGATGCGGCCGATTGGGCCGGCGGGGTGTTGGTGTTTGGATGTACTGCCCTTGAAGCATTCGGCATCCTACCCCTCGCCCTTCAGAGGAAGCGAGAACACATCACGTTTGGGAGCAGTACTGTATGTAGTGCCGATTGTTTGCCACAGATTTTGTAGTTCTCTGCTTCCTGAAAACGAGGCCATCGCTGCAAGAGCTGGTTGAGGCTTTGGAGCAGGGCCGGATGAACGCCCTGGAGGGTAAGTCCGTATGGGAGGCCTTGCTGAGCTACAAAGCCAAGGTGCCATGCTGACCATATCTGCTTCATCATATCAATCACTCGGCTAGCTAGGGTGGCCTTCATCTCAGGCGACTAGTCAGGGCCACTTCTCCCTCGGCTCGGCCTGGATTCGACTCGATGAGCCGATCCCCAGGGAGACAGTGACCAAGGTGCGCGGTTCGGGAAGCGTTGGCATGCGCTACAAATAGACGTGCGTGCCAGGCCATTCACAAGTACCAGAACACTTGGCCAGAAACCTTGGAGGCCACCACGAACCACCAGAAGCCCGAACATACAGCTGGAACCCAAAGTTTCGCGAACGTGGCAGGCCAAGGGCCGTTTGCAGATGGCACTCCGCGAAGCGCAGTTGCTGCTGCTGGCCTTGGATGCCTATAGCTCGCACAAGGCCAGAAAAGCCTCACCGGGCACAAGAGTGATTCGGGTCCGATTGAAGACTCACTATAAGAGGTGCAAGCTGGCGAGAGCTCGGAGAAGGCGTGGTCCTGGCATTCTCGAAGGCCCTCTTCACGATCCTATGCCTGAGCCTCGATACTCGTACTTCTTTTCCCTCTTCAGTGTTTGCGGCGTGGAAGATGATGGGAGCCTTGTCAACCGATGCAGAGGCTTCCGAGTCCAATGAAGGGACCACAAGCAGCTTTTGGAGGCCAGTAATTACACGGCAGACAGCCTTCGGCCTTGGGGAGGTCAAGCGAATGAAGCGACTGATACTGTTATGCCGCACGTCAGTATGATAGGAGTTACTATAGGGGGGAGCTTTGGTGTCACAGTTGTTCTTCTACGCAGATTTCAGATGGTTGCCTCTGAGTTACCGGTTGCCACAGACCATCAGCATCTTGACAGGAAGCCATCGATGGGATCGTCCATGCTTGGCTTCAGACCCTGGAGAAGAAATGGGTAGATGACTGGAAAAAAAGGGGAATGCTGTTTCATCTGGAAAGTGCATCTGCAAACTGGGGCACCGAATGCAAAGGCATTGCGGGTTGCTGCAATGCTGAGGCGTGTGTTGCCGGTACCCGGGCAGCTGAGTGAGAGTGCCGATAGTCAGAGTCAGAAGCACCATCCAACTCCGCTGACAAATCAAAGTCCTACTCAATCCATTGTGCACCGCATGGGTTTTGTATACCCCCTTCTACTCGTATGGGATGCCATGTTACTTCCATTCTGGTGGGCGACCTTCACGACCCGCAGCCACCGAGCCCCCATACTTACTTCACATGGGCAAGGCCTCGACATGCCGTGGACGGAGTGTGTAGCCAAAGGCGCGGTTCGCAATAGGCCAATGGGCCTTGAAGCTTGGCAGACCCACTACATCCCGCTACAGTCACTTCAAGTCTCAACGGTTGACGTCAATCATGCAGCTGTCCCGTCACCTCACGGATCAAACTGTGCATGAACCTCCAGCACTTGCAACATGTCAGCCGGTGGCCCTGAGCAATGGAATGCCTAACATCAGTCAGTTGGATCCATATAAATACGCCGCCTTTTGCTCCTTTCTGCCGCGACATCGCCAGTTAAAGGATGTACATAGTTTTGCCACATGCAGGGTGCACACATTTCTGTTTCCATGTTCTAGCAACAAGGAAACGACATGTATGTATTCAGTCACTGTAAGCTTTTCGCAAGCAGCCGGCTGCCATGCCGATCAATTGTCTCTGCTACCTACATTTCCTTGTGTAGTCAGCTTTCACCATGTTTTCAACACGTGGGGCATGCCAAGCCTTCGCCTCAGCTCTGAAACACGCCTGGAAGGCTGGAAGGATCAGGCGCGTTCAGGGTCTCTTTGTCGCTCAGGCCGTCAAAGCGCCCTGGTTTGCCCTTGCACACGGCTCAGCAGCAGCGGCAGCAGCAAGTCCTTGCCATCTCTGGCTGGCCATGCCCACTATCAGGTACTTTTCTTTGCAATATGTTTTTGCGGTACGACTCTCGTCTGCATTCAACGGACTGTGGCACCCCAATGTCAAATTGCATTCGCCGTCCTTGCTTCGCTATGGAATTGAGCAATGCTCTGAATTAGGACGAGTTGCACCACAGATGGCAGCTGTGCTGCCGTGAGCTGCTAAGCCAGAGACGGCGTGACGCACTGTGTCGAATTGCGAGTGCTCGTGCGTCAAGTGTGGCCGTGTTGGCTGCTGAGGCTTGCGCAGTGAGCAGCACGAGCTGCACAGGGGCGCCAAGCCCCAGAGTTCTTCCGAACATGCCAAGTGCTTGAGTTACAGCACAGTTTCAGCATGGATCTACTACACCAATCAAGAGAAATGTCGGCAAACAGCTCGGAACCCAAGCTTTTCTGGTGGGACGCCTCTGAGACGTGCCCTGGCAGCGCAGGTGTATTGTGATCCTGTGTGCCGAGCTCGGGCTGCATGACGCACTGGGTGGGGCTACGCCGCCAAGAGAGAAACTATTTTTGCCATTCCCGGCTAAGACCAAAAAACACTGCTGCAGCAACTGCGAAGGTTCAGCCGCTGCGACTGCCCAAGCGAGGCCAAGCCGCCGGTCTGTGTGAAATTCAAGATTTCGCTCGAACTGCTTTGCAGTTTGAACGAGACGTTGAACCTCCAACGTCAGCGACCGTTCCGGAGCCGATTCGGATCGAAAGTCTGCACAGTGCACCATGAGCCACAACTTCGCCCATTCCACATTTTTGCTGCAATTTTGCCTGGCCAGGCTCTGCTTCGTGCAGATGGATCCTGCGAGGCACGGGCTCTTGAGACAGGTTTCTGAGATCGCTGAACTCCGTCCGCAAGCGTCCCTCGTTTGAGAGTGCTGTCGCTGAGCTACACACTTCTGCAGCTTTGCGGTTTGGACACCATTTTGCTGGCCGGGCAGTGCACTTGCACCCCACGGCTGGAAACACCGGAGGCGGTATTCAATGACAAACATACTAGGCCCAGTGGGAAGAAGCGACCGTGTATGGTTTTCATGTCCTGCATGAGGTTTTTTCTGCCGCCGCAGCAGAGGTCGCCCTTGCGCTCGTGCTTCTATCAGCTGCACACAGGGGTTGCAGCGCCACCGTTCCGATGGCTGTGAATCCGCCAAAAACCTGTCAGCAACGACGCCAAAGTTGCGTCTTTCATTTCAATCATGCTTGGAATGTCAACACATCGCCACTCATCATGGAACTGAGGTCGTGGGGCACAGTGAGCTTCAGTTGGCTTTATCCGTTGCTTCAGGACGTCGTTTGGTCACGACATCGTTGGTTGGCGATTTACTTTTCTTTGGAGCGAGCCGGGCAGATTAGAGCGCCAGCTTCACCCTAGCAAGTGCCCAGCAGGCAAGCCCAAGTGGCGTCGTTTGCTCTTACGCACATGTGGCCATGCATGCGCTTCCATGGAGAGACTCCGAAAAATCGTCCTGGCATGCTTGCAGGCCAGGCTGCCCAGACATGACGTGCGGCACCGCTTCATATCCCGACTTTGAGCCGCAGGTCCTCCTGCGCGCCCACTGTTGGACCATCCAGGGTCAGGCCGGGGCAAAGCAAAGCCATTTCTAAATGTAGTCGTCAGCCCGCGATGGTTGCGGCTGTCAGGAATGGGTCGTGCCACTCTCAGGAAACATGCTGTTTGCAGCAGCCACGAGATTGCTGAGCCCGCTAAGATTTACATGTTTAATTAATAAGCTGCGCAGAGCAGCCGAGCGAGAATCCACCGTCGCGGACAGTGCAAACTCGCAGAACACGATGGCGACGTGTCACTCACAAGGATCCCGATGGTAGGCTCGTAGTCGCCACAAGCGCTGCAACAAAGCTCTTTCGAACCGAGCGTGAGTCGCGCGCCTGCTGATCAGCCAGTAGGTCCCAACCAGCAACCAGCTCGAGAGGGAAGACTTGGCAGCTCATTGTCCTCGTTGTGCCCCCGTCCAGATGAAGGACTGGCCACTCGCGCTGCAGCCCTCAGACTCTTCCTTGGCTTCAGCTTGCACTCCAGCTCAAGCTCGGCAAGACTGCCTCCTGGACGCAGCCACTCCCTCTCTGTATCTACGAGACTTGCTTCGTACGTGCCCGCGCCGGCAGTGTGGCGAGCCGTTTTGATGCGTTATTCGATTGCAAAACATGCTCTTTTGAAGAGGGTCGATGGCAGCATCGCGAAGTGTAGTTGCACCGAGCGGATGGCAACTGAAAGAAAAAACAGTGAAACATACAGTAGATCACAGGTGCTTTCTTGGCTTGATATTTGAGCCATACGACAGCATCCGCGCGTCTACTGGGTTGACGAGGAATGGAGGTTGGTTCTGACCAATGGTTTAAACTCGCTCCACCTGTGAAAAGGACGGGATGTCGGCTGATAACCATATCATTCATCAGGGTATCTGGCCGCTCGCAATTAAGACATGGAGCATGCAGTGCGCATGGAAGGGAACATGAAAGGAGCAAGATGATCTTGGAGGGTTCTGAAACCACTCGGATGTGTCCCCTTTTGCAATGTCGGGGCCGACTCCGGGGTCTTCACATTGGCGGGAATTCCTCACTTCAGGGCTATGCGTGTTCGGAAAATTTTGCTCTGACTGAGGTCTCTACCGGGATCCCGGTGAGCTTAGAGGTGTCGGGCAGCAATCTAACATCAAGCAGGAGGCTCGAAGTGCTGCCCTCGTTGAAGCCGCTTTCACGTGGTTGATATTCGCAGCAGGCTTCGAATCCTAGCTCCCACTTCAAGCTGCGACGAAGCCGGTGGCACGATCCTCAGGATATCTACGTACTCATTTCAGACGTCTTAGGCGGCTTCCTGTCCACGCTAAGGAGCCTCCGGATATTTGCCCTTCCTGGTAAATTGCACATCGGGCTGTACGCAGGCCTGCCGTGCCATTTTCACTTTAAGGGCGCCCATTGCACTCCTAAGGCATGCGTTCAAACCAGGCTAAGCTCGAGAAACGACTGGAAGAAGTGCTCTTGTTGTGAAAGCATGTTGTTTCGGCAAGGCCAGAGAGGACACAAGCCTGGCACTGCATACTTGCATCTTCGATGCAGCTCGCACCTGAGAGCATGTGCAAACGAGAATGCTCCCCAAGTGCGAGTGATTCAGGCTGCTGACAGTCGCTGAGAGCAGGTTTCTGGGTGCTACTCGTAGCACCTGTTTATGTATCTCTGGGAGAATGACGGATTCCCATGCTGCGACACAGTTGTGGACAGTTGGGACAGTACGAGACGAACCGGACAGCACTTCCCTGTCACATTCGAGGATTCTTAGTTAGGCTATGCTTCCTGTGGCCCATGTTGCCCATGTTCGTCTTCAGTTTGTCAGGCACAAGCAACGTTTTCAGCAATGCATGAGTCGAGGCGAAGGTCGCGGCGGTGCGCGTCCAAAGCGCTCACAAGGTAGAGGCCTACCTGCAGCCCGTTGCTTCTACCAGAGCAGCTGTTGGAGGGGCCTTGGCAGCCACAGGTGGAGTTCGATGTGGTTCCAGGCATTCGAGCCCACGACAGGACTCTTTGCACGGACTCTTTTTGCGTCTGTCCGAAGTAGCGCAAGTGGAGAGCATAAGCAAGCATAAACATACATCATACATCAACCGGCCGCCTTCAGCCAGGCTCAACTTGAAGCATTGATCGCTAGCGAAGACGATGGAGACACGCAGGATCGCAGCCCCGAAGTCGATCAGCATCGCAACAAGCACTGAACTCCCCATATAGACGCGGTTGCATTGGCCCCGTACGATGTCAGCACCCTCGGCCAAGCGACTGGATGAGCTGTGCCAATTCTTCTCATTGGAGAAGGCAGAGCGAAGCGCACGTGCGATGGTTCGCAGGTAGGTTGCATCGTTTCTACATTACACAAGTTGTTGTGAGAAGAAGTCCGGACATAGACGTAGGCCAAAGAGTGGCCAGCCACTGTGTGTGCGAATGGGGCTAGCATCTCATGCTCTCGTAGCTGGCTTTTGGGTGGGGCCCGGTCGAAGCCTTGAAGGCAAGGATGGCAGACTGAAGATATGATTGAAGCAGTCCTTCAGTGCTTGGAGCTTGAAGGCACGAGCTGTCCTCGTCAGCGACGTGAAGCTGGACGATGTGCTGTGTTTGTCCTACCGGCTCATTTTTTCACAATTTCACCCTTTGTTCCTGCATTTATTGCCAGGTGGATTTTTCTGATGTACAACTTTGCACGCCCAGCAAATCACAAAGTGGAAGTGGAGACTCGGCTAGCAGCTAGCAGTTGCAAGAACCTTTGAGAGCTGCTCCTGCCGAGTGCATGATCCTCTTTTGTCTAAGGACGTCTACATGACTGGCATCCGTGATTCCGCAGCTGCCGCTTGCTTGGCGCAGCATGTTTTCGATGCTGCGGAGGCCGCGGTGAAGGAGCGTGGCGGCAGTGTGCTGGCACAACTTGGTGCACATGTGATGAAGTGTCTCGTGTGATGCTGCGATGTCACTGTCACAACATCGGGCTGTATCGACTCTGAAATTCACCAGACAGTGCTTGCAAGCTTTCGGTGCACGAAGATCCTCGAGGTTGTCCCATTGCCTTTCGGGTGCTGGCATCGAAGCGACCAGCCAAATCTGCGCCACGCCATGAGAAGGATACCTACAAACCATATCGAGACCCCTGGCTGCACAGTTGAAGCTTTCAGTGGAGACCCGCGCGTGGCAATCACCAGCGACTCTTCCGGTACAAACAGGACTCGATTCAATGGCTCGCAACACTTTGAACGAGGGTGCCAGTTGTGAGTAATTTCGCAAGGATGGTTCTGCCGGCTTCCCTCAAGCCAGCGAGCGATCTTTAGCCTTCTGGGAAGACTTGCCGGAGGAGGCCAACACATGCCTCATGGGAGTCAGGAAAGGTCCCTGACCACTTGCGTTTGATCTTTTGGGGGGTTAGCCACATCTTGTACTGGTCTTTGTGGCTCCTGTGCGAGTCTTGTGCTGTCGTCATGGCTGTGATGATGAAAACCTACTGTAATGTCGGTGCATAGAGACAGAATCCTAACTTGTCAGAGCACTTTTCATTCCGGGATTGCCGGCGCCCAGGAGGTTGCGTCTTGGTCAGAAAACCTACCCAGCAATCAAGCGGAGGGGAACAAAGGTAACATGAGCAATTCTGCGCTGGAACTCGTGGCAGCAAAGGCGAAAAGAGGTTGTCGACAATGTCTAAATCTTATGTATAGGACAGGAATACGATTCGACAAAACATGAATGGCTTTTGACATCAGAAGGTGTGGTGTGGGCAGAACTGGCCGCGCATGCACCGCAACAAGTCTGGGCAGGCACGAAAGGCCGACTTGGTCGGTGTGATCGCCCAGTTCTTCAACTTTGAGGTCCAGAACGACAGAACTCCGAACATGTTGGCGCACGTTCCTGTCGCAGGTTGTGGCGGACACCACAAGTCTTTGCCAGCGCCTAGCCAACTCAAGAGAGCATCGCACTGTGACACAACTTCTGCCCGTCAGGTAAAGACATGCTCGATGTCATTGTGCCCAAACCTGGAGGCTTGCCTCTCGCATGAACACATGACCTTGGCGTTTCAAAACAACTGAGAGCTGCCTTTCTCGACGGTATCGTTCGCTCGTAGGAAATGTCCCGAGGCGTTGGCGCTGACTTGGTAATCAGGCATTTTCCCTTAACCGGAAAGATTGCAACAGGCATCCTCATCTTCCAGAGTGGCTTCAACACCCGCGTCCCGCTCCATGCAGAGGACATGGTTTGGGGCACTCTGTCCGAGAAGGTGCTGAGCTTCGTGGCCATGGCTTGCAGGGACTCCACACTTAACTGTCTTAGCTTCGGAGGTGGAGAGGGCCGGTGCCAAGATGGCCCTCATTAGCAATGGCTTTAGCTTTGACAAGGCACCTTGCTTGCAGCCTGCCGCACTACTCCAGTAGTGCAGACAGACAGGCTTTAACTTAGTTTCGTGTTGGCCTGGAGCGATGCGGCGATGCTAGAATCAGGGTCAGCTAAATCCCGCCAAGTGCATCTAAGTGCTAGAGCCCAGGGGCCGAAATCCTGGTGGCTGAGGCTTCCGGAAAGTCTGGCGTGATACCGCCGGATGGAGAGACTATGCGGAAGCTGGAACGCTTAAATCCAACGTTGTGGACCCTTGGAGAGCACATATGTTGTATGACTGTAGCTTAGCAGGGAATTCCACAGAACAATAAGCAGGTGTTGTATTAGTACTGTGAGAGTGGTAGTACATGTGCTACTACCGCCACGACTACGACGACTACTACTACTACAACAACTACTGCTGCTACTACTACGACTACTACGACGACGACGACGACTACTACTACAAGTACTACTACTACTACTACTACTCCTGCTACTGCTACTGCTGCTGCTGCTGCTGCTGCTAATACTGCTACTGCTACTACTACTACTACTACTACTACCACTACCACAACTACCACAACTACCACAACAACAACAACAACTACTACACATATATGTG